TAGCGTGTTATGTGCTCACTCCCCGGCTTCACCTCTATTCAACTTCGTAGTCTCCTATCGTCTTCGTTACTCATCGCCCTCACTCCCTCCGCCTATCGACTTTGCCACTGCCTGTCACCCATCACCTGTCATCCATTGCTCTTGTAGTGCTCTGTGCTCCGCTTCTTACTCTGCATGTTCCTCCCCTTGCACGAGCAGTGCACCCCTACCTTGCCTACTGCCCGACAGCCTTGCAGAGTGTGCAAATACAGGCACAGAAATCGACACCCGGACGGGGCCGTTCAGCGACGATCCTTGACGGACCATCCTCAGAGAATGTAGAGGGTGTCAACCTGCCAGATCTCGCTCACCTGTACATCAGCCACACCCAACCAACTGGGGTTTCGGACACGCTGAGCAGCATCACCATACCAAGCACACCCTTGTGAAAGTAGAGCGCCTCGTACTTCGGGCTTCTCCGGTCGAACTCTCCACCGACTCGTTCCTGTAGCTGTGTTACGGTCGTGGAGCACGGGAGCGCGGAGGTCGGGCGAGTTGAAGACGAGCGGGGGAAGGGGTCGGATTGGAGTACGCACTTGACCTCGGGAGGCTGGCGATAGCGGGGGATGCGGGTAGGAGGGCGACTGGGAGGAGCCAGGATGCAATCGCGTAGTGAGACAGTGGGTGCGGAAACAGAATATAAAGGTAATGGTGGCGGGTGGCTGAGACGATGACGAGCTCGTAACATGGTCGGTCCGGCCAAATAACAACAAGCTGTAGACTCTTCTACGTCCACCATGTATTCTACCCCGTCCTTTCATTGATTCTTTCTCTCGACCCGTGACGCTTGCGTTTCAACAAACCTGGGCCTCTACACCTCAGAGTTCTTATTCCTCCTTCCCCAGTCCATCAGTACTCTCCAAGCTTTTGCGACATACGACACCGTGGCGTTCTGTCGGGGCGTGTCGGCGGTGCGCGGTGCCTCCAGTGGGCAACTTCTCCTCACGGTGACTATCACCCACCAGGAGGGCATGTACTTTGAGGAGATTGTGGAGGCTCCTTCGTCACTATGGCAATCCCACCACCCCCAACGTCAACGTCTACTTCTCCGACGACACGTTTGAGAAGTGCACCTGGCGAGTGTTTGGAGAAATGAGGGAATGACGTACCTTCCTCACAAGCTTCCTCGGAGTCTCTTCGCTGTCGGTGGGATGGGGAGGAGTGCAATCCCTGATGGTGATGCTCGGCGCCGACGGCGATGCGATGGGGGCCCGTTCCTGGTTCCAGGTGTGCAACACAAGTGCAACAACTGTTCCTTCAACTCAGATATTCTGGGAATGGGTCTTCAGGACGAAGTACACGGTAGAAAGGCGTATGGAAGGGAATGTTCCTTTGCAATCCTCACTGTGAGGATCTATGAGGAAAATGAAGATGACGCCGATGAACTGGAAAGATGGCAGCAAATAGCCCAGTGTATTTTGGTGTTTGTGCCTGGGTGCGAAATAGATGCAGGGGTGAAACATAGGGCATGGCGGATGTAGGGGTGGCAACGGTAAGCACTTCTTTCCAGTCTAACCAGGCAAGTGGCACCAACCATGACACGGCAGAAAACCGTATCTTGTGGTCTACCTTGGCAATTTGGGAACTGCGTGAATAAGATAGTTGTGTGTTGAGGGAGAATTGACACATGGGGAAATGACCGCTATGTTTGGAGTCTCAATAATCGATATTATAGAACTTTGTCCAGGCCTTGGGAAACGCAAGCCGACGGGTGGCCGACCGGTGCACACCAATTATTCCAGCGGCACGCCCACCGCCGCCGCCTACAATTCTTGGGTGGCCGCTGACCATTGCATGACATGTACATCCTGGCACACACACCAAAGACAATGAACCCCGAGCCCTGCCAACCCAAGTCCCCAGGTCTTGGGAAACAGTGGCCGATCGGTGCACGCCAACCATTCCAACCACACGCGCAATTTCCATTCGCACGCGCAACGCACAGCCAGCAGGCTTCTCCACCCGTGCGAGCATCGGCCTACTATATTGTCCCACCATCGGTTGACCCTTCACCACTCCAAGCTTCCACTTGACCACCTACCCTGACCAATGAGAATCACAACGGGGCCTGCAGGCGACTCATATTCAGCGCGGCCGGGACACGCGGCCGGGCCTAGGCGAAGCCGGATCGTCGGCTCCAAGGGTTGAGAGCCCATAGCTTTAATAGCGACATCATCCTCGACCCTCTACCACCACCATCACTCGCATAGACGCCTGCCACCCAGCCTTCGAATTCGCGAGGCCCCCCACTTCCCTCCCCATTCCGTCCCCTTCAAGGGTCAAATGCCACCGGATCCAAGCTCTCAGGCTCTCCGGGGCAGCAGGCCGAGCCCGATAGACCGTCCAACACCTCGGTCGCGGTCTGTCACCCCATGAACGATCTCTCCCCCGCGAATTTCTTGTACATGAGCCAGTTCAATCCGTCCGAAGCAAGACGCGGGACTCCGAAGGACGCCCATCCACTTGAGAAAGCAGTTTCGGGATACGAGGAAGTCATGGTCGAGGCAGGGCTCATAACCTGTCAACGGGTACGAGTGCTGGCGAGCTAGCGAGAGAGCGGGGCTCACCTCAGTCTCGGGAGACGGGGGTGCATTGAACACTTTCGGACGGCGCTTAGCTGGTCGAAGACCCTGGGAGTGATAGTACCCTCGTCCGTGCCCGCTCGACCGCTGATGGACCTTTGGCTACTTTCCACACCTGCATAGCTGCTGGCAGCTCTAAATAACACAAGTTGAATACACATGCATCTACGTGAGTTGAAAGGTAAGACCACCCTTCACTTCCATATTTAGGTTGCCATCTGACCCCACTTTGCTTCTTACCACAACTGTCGACAAACTTCCCACGCTCGACCTCATACGGGGGAACGTCGAGCGTGCCCTCTTGTTACTTCTCGAGTACCTAGTCTACATAAGGACAACTCTAGGCAATATAAACGACCGAAAATGGGATCCAAGCAGGATCCGGGACTGCAGAAACGGACAGCAGAACCGAGGGCGGGCGCTCCACCCGCAAGCACGGCGAGGCCGGCTTCCCGACTCCTCCGTGGAAGCCCACAGAGAGAGGTGGTAATCGACGAACACCTGACGATAGTAGATGGAGATCAGGCGACAGAATTCCTCGAGCGACACGGCCTCATCCCGGAGGGACAACCCCCAAGCCGCGAGGTCCTCATCGCTGGGCTCTTCAAGTGCGCGGCGGACGCGAAGGGGGCTACGACCAAGGCTTGCATTGCGTCCCTGGCTCACTACACGAAGCTGGTACTCGACAAGGAACTGAACACGACACTAGCAAAGGCGATAACGGAGCGGGTCGCGGAAGACCTAACGGCAAGAATGGACGGCTTTGCAATGGACGCGGCAAGAGAACTCAAAGTCACGAAGGAACGACTGGAGGAAGCGGCACAGGAACTGGAGGAGGAGACGACGAAGCTCAAGGAAGTGCGGGAGACTCTGTCGCAGGGGAAAGGGACGGCGGCAGCGGCGGAATGGCCGTCGCTGCAGTCAGGTGCGTACAGTCCTAGAACCTCACACTCCGGCGTTGGGTCAGCCCCAGCGGCGGCCGTACCGCTCCCCCCTGCTCTCTCGGCGGCACGCGACGGGGCGTCCGTCATGGACCGACAGATCATGGTCCGGGGGCTTGTGGTGCCCAAGTCGGGAGGGGCGAAGACGAGGGAGGTGGAGATTATTGCGCGTGCAGGAGCCGCGATGGAGGGGTTGGCGAGAAAGGGGATCGTGCCCCCACCAGAGATCGCCGTAAAGTTCACGGCAGTAACGATTCAAGAAAGGGGAGACGTGGTCGTGATGACCTCCACTGGAGAGGCTGCGCGATGGATCCGGGAGGTCTGCTCCGGGCCTTTCGCGCAGGAGCTGCAGATGGGGGCATCGGTGGTGCAACGCACATACCCATTGGTGGTGGGAGGAGTGTCCACCGAATTTGATCCAAACGACGAGGAGGCGTTGCGGGGGCTAGAGGACGAGAACGGGCTCACACGAGGGAGCATTGCGTCGGCGGCGTGGATGAAAGCCCCAGAGAAGCGTTGGGAAGGACAGACAATCGCGATGATGCGGGTGGTGTTCTCGTCAGCGGCCGCCGCAAATTCTGCCATTGCGGAGTTCGTGGTAGCAGGCAGGCGGAGCAGAGTGCGGAAGCTCTCAGAAGAACCGCTCCGATGCCACAAGTGCCATACCTATGGGCACCTTGCGCGCAACTGTGGCAAACCTGCGGACTCGTGTGGCCGCTGTGCCTCGGAATTGCATGCGACGGACAGCTGCCCGCATAAGATGGATATGACGAAGTGGAAGTGCGTAAACTGCGGCGGGAATCATGTGGCATGGGACCGAGTCTGCCCAGAGTACAGGGGACGGGCGGACAGACTCTACGAGCGCAAGGTCGGGTCGGGATACCGTTTCTTCGTGACCCATGACCCTTCCTCCTGGGAGCTCAGTCGATCTTTTACACATGGCAAGCGGCCATCCCCGTCGCTCTGGCAGGAGGCGATTCAACCGGCCATGGAGAAAGGAGGTGCCTCGCGCCCGTCCCAACAGGAAAGGCGCCGCCTCTGGCAGACGAGATTGACGGACCAGGTGGAGGTGGACCACGCCGACCTAGACTTCCGACGCGAACAGCCGACACCCTCCGACCAACCCCTATCCCCATGAACGGTACAACTCAACCAGCACCCCCCACGATCCGCCAACTCCGCATCCTCCAACTCAATGTCAACAAAGCAATCGACGCACAAACTGAACTGCTAAGCTCCCCCAAGATTGCCGACTACGACATCATCGCCCTCCAAGAACCTTATCTCATCTCTCCAGGAAGGACGTCAGTCGTGAACAAATGGACAGTCGAATACCCGGCTGTTCCCGACCCCAAAAACTCGGCGCGCATGCGGTCTCTCATCCTCGTCAATCAGCGCCTCTCTACCAACACTTGGACCCGCCTCCCTGTCGCTCATGCTGACGTCTCGGCCATCTCAATCGCAACAGGCGACCGGGTGACTCACCTCTTTAATCTCTATGTCTCACAGCAGTCGGACTCCGCCATCCGGGCAGCCCGCCACGTCGTCACCAAAATCGCCCGCGAGGTCCAGAGGTCGGGGGACAAGCGCACACATTCGTTCATCTGGCTCGGCGACTTCAACAGGCACCACCCGCAGTGGGACGACGAACGTAACCGGCACCTCTTTACCCCACATGCGCTGGAGCGTGCGGAAACTCTTCTCAGGGTGGTCGCAGACGTAGGAATGGTTCAGGCACTCCCACAGGGGGTGCCGACACTCGAAGCATCGCGCACCAAAAACCACACTCGGCCGGACAACGTATTCTGCTCGGACGACCTCCTCAACGTCTTGCTCTCCTGCGAAGTCATCCCCCGGCTGCGTCCACCTAAGACTGACCACTACCCCATTGTCTCAACCTTCGACATCCCGCTGACCATAGTCGAGAGACCGCCACGCCGAAACTTCCGGGATGTCATCTGGCCGGAGTTCGAGAGCGGGCTGCGGGAACGACTCGGACAGCTCCGACCACCAGGCCCAATCACATCACCAGCGGACTTCGAGGCAGCACTAGACGACGTCCTTGACACCATCTCGACAGTCATTGAAGAGTGCGTCCCCCTCACTAGGGAGCAGCCCTACGTTCGGCGCTGGTGGTCGAAGGAGCTGGAGGAGATGAGGAAGGAGAAGGAGCGCCTCTCGCGCAAGGCCCACAAGCACCGGAGTGAGGCGTGCCACCCCGCGACGGTGGAGTACCATCGGTTCAGAAACCGCTACACGGACCAAATCCGCAGGGCGAAGCGAGAACACTGGACGTCGTGGATTAGCGGTATAGACGCAGACACCATCTGGATCGCTAACCGTTACCTGCGCAAGGGTGACACAGATGGAAGCGCACCACGCGTCCCGTCACTCAAATCCACGGCAGCCGACGGCACCCCATGCATGCTTCACACGAACGAGGAGAAGGCGGCAGCCTTCCACAAAACTTTCTTCCTACCCCCGGCGGCGCCATCGTCTCCCCCCAAGCCCTACCCACCCCCCAAGTTCAAGTACCAACCAATCACCCGGGAACAACTCCGCCACGCTATCGACTCCACACACTCGTACAAGGCGGCAGGACCGGACGGCATCCCGAACGAGGTGTACAAGAACTGCGCGGACGCACTGATCCCCTTTCTCCTCCCACTCTTCCAGGCAACTTTCGACCTCAACTACTACCCCCAACGCTGGCGCGAGTCGACCACGGTTGTCCTGAAGAAACCGGGCAAACCTGACTACGCCATGCCGAAGGCCTGGCGCCCAATCGCTCTCCTCAACTGCATCTCAAAACTCCTCACAAAATGTGTTGCCGACATCCTGCGCTACGAGGCGGAGACACGGGGACTCGTCGCAAACTACCAGTTCGGCGGCAGGCCAGGGAGAACAACATCTGACTCACTCCACTTGCTCACGAAGACAGTGAAAGATGCGTGGCGACGCGGCAAGGTCATCTCTGCGCTCTTTTTGGACATCACGTCGGCATACCCAGCAGCTTCTCCGGACCGCCTTTACCACAACATGCGGATGCGTGGAGTTCCAGATGAATACGTCGAGTGGCTGCGGGTGAAGCTGGCAGGCCGCACTACCACTATGGTCTTTGACGACTTCGCATCCGACCCCTTCCCCATCGAAAGCGGCATCGACCAGGGCTGCTCTGGATCGGTGATCTTCTACATCTTCTACAACTCCGATCTAGTCGACACTGCAATCATCGACAACCGGGAGCTGTCCCCTGGCTGCATGGATGACGTCTACGTGCTAGCCGAGGGGGATGACTTTGAGGGCGAGGACGGGGAGGGAGCACACGACAAGCTCGATGAGGTGATGACCAGGGTGGGAGGTGGCTTCGAGTGGTCCCGCGATCACAACTCGGAGTTCTCTGTCGATAAATTCGGGGTCCTCAACTTCACGCGTCGTAACGGAGCAGGTGTGGGGCCACCACTCCGGCTTCGACGTGGCCGCCTCCGCCGGGACGACCTTCTCATTCCAGCCGCTACACACCACCGCTTCCTAGGCGTCCTCCTCGACCCTCGCCTGTCCTTCTCCTTCCACCTCGCAATGGTTGTCGCCAAGGGCGCCGCACTCCTCAACCTCTTTCGTCGGATGGCCAAGGCCAGGTATGGCTTTACACCAAAGATGATGCGTCAGCTATATCTCTGCACGGTCCTCCCTGCGCTCCTCTACGCCCTCGACGTCTGGTTCACTCCCATCAGAGCGGTGGAATGGAAGTCGACACGACACGGCTCCGTGGGCATGGCAGAGGAGCTCGGCAAGATACACCGCCGTTTTCTACTCCTGATGACGGGAGGCCTGCGGTCGACCCCAACGGCGGCCATGGAAGCTCACATGGACATCCTCCCCTTTCCTCTTCTCGCTGACATGTTCTGCCACCGCGCTGCAGTGCGCTTACGTACACTCCCACCCACGCACCCCCTTTACACCCCTGTTAGACTAGCTACAAGCCGCTACACTAAACGCCATAGATCACCCCTCTACGAGCTCTTCGACGCGTACACTAACTACCTTCCAGGCAGGGACACCATGGAAACCATCCGCCCGGTTCGCCACCACCCACGATGGCGGGCTCAGCACAGGATCTGCGTCAAAGCGTCGAAGGAGGAGGCCGAGAGGGACGAAGAACGCTGGGCCACACGCTTGGGCATCCGGGTGTACTCCGATGGCTCGGAAGTGGAGGGTGGTGTCGGAGCAGCCGCAGTACTGATCATCCCGGGCAAACGGCCGCGCACCCTCCGCTACTTCCTCGGCCCATCGCATACCCACACTGTCCCCGAAGCAGAGGCAGTCGGCACCATCCTCGCCCTAGCCCTCATCCGCCAAGTCTGTCGTCACGAGAAACGTGCGTCCATCGCCCTCGACGCGAAGGGTACCGTCGAGTCCTCCCTCAAATCTGACTCAGGCGCTGGCAAATACCTCCACGATATCTTCCACGCTGACTGGAGAACACTCCGAAAGAGACACCCCACACTCCGTCTCACCCTGCGGTGGGTACCGGGCCATGTCAACATCCCGGGCAATGAGCTCGCCGACGAGGCGGCAAAGGAAGCGGCAGGGGGCCGCTCCTCACCCAAGAACCAACTCCCGCCATCTCTCCGCGACCCCCTTCCCGTCAGCTCGTCGAAGACAAAGCAAATCTTCCGGGACCATCTCAAAGAAAAGGCCAAGAAGGCGTGGAGGGCGACCAAGCGGGGAGTAGCTATGCAGGCCGTCGACAAGTCACTGCCATCGCGATCCTTCATCAAACTCATTGAACACCTCCCACGCCGCCACGCAGTCGCTCTCTTCCAGTTACGCACCGGACATGTCGCGCTCCGCAAACACCTCACTACCATCACCCGCAAGGGCGGCGCCGCGTGTCCCGTATGCACTGAGGCGGACGAGTCCGTCCGGCATTTCCTCTTGGAGTGCCGTGCATTCGAACCGTGCCGTGCCGCCCACTTTGGCCCGCTAGGGCGTAACGGCCGGACCCTCAAGAAACTACTTGGTACTCCGGAAGGCCTCATCCCCCTTTTCGGATACCTGGAGGAAACCGAGCGCCTCCGCTCGGTCTTCGGGTCCCTCGCTCCACCGGACTCCCTGGCCGACGCGCTCGAGGCGGATAAAAAGAAGGAGGAGGCGCGGTGACACTGATCTCACCGGTCTCGCGCGGTAAGGTACCCTGCCATCATCTCTTCCGAAGGTGTGCGCGTCGTCGAGCTCCTCCCCTCCCTCCGCTCCCCCGTTTCCTATGCCCCTCCCAGTCTCTCTCTCCGCTCATCTCTCAATATTCTTCCATCTCGATACTATCTATGCCCCTATGCCCCAAGCCTCCATCTGTCCCATTTCTCTACTGTACATAATACGCCCACATACTCTACCACATCTCAAACGGCCGCCCTCCGCACTGGGCCCACACTAGGCTATCGCAGGTACTGCCCCTGCATCCATCGCCCCTAGGGCACTTGTGTCGTTGATACCCCATCCCCCCAGTTTCGTGAGCCCGGTTCAAGTAGAACTAGACCATGTATGTTACGCCTACCATAGGGCTTCGCCCTCGAGGGCGTTAAA